ACGATTTCAAAACAGCAAAGAGCCATAGAGAGTAGAAAATAATTGCTGAATGGTGGGGAGCACTGGAAATACCAAACAAAATTGGGGAAATATAAAATTAGGTGATTAAGTAATAATGGGAAGATTTTAACTATACACAAGAAGGCAAGGAGAATACTCTTTATTAGGATAAAATATTGAGGGAAGGTTGCTAAACAGGATTAAAATATTCCATCAGGCCATTTTCACGCACAATGTAAGTGGACTCAGTGCATACCAGTAGAAGATGTATCTGTTGGGAACCAACATTGACAGCAATCACAGAAAGAACAGTTGAATTTACATTAAACTTAATATTCTTATAAAGAAGAGGAAACACTTCAAGGATTGCCCAAAAAGTTACTAAGAAAAAGCAATTTAAGGGATAAACTATCTCTCTGTGCAGAGGACAGACACAAAAATAAGCCAAGAAAATCTAAGGGACATATGACAGGTCATGACTGTGGCACAGTTAAAAATTCCAATATGAAACCAGGATAAGTGATGACCAAGAGGGATGATATCTTCTCTCCCTACAGTCTCAAGAACCCAGGAAAGTAGAGGTTTCCTAGATCTGAGAGAATCCCAGTTCTGTGTGGGCCATCTCCACTTGGAGGTCTTCAAAGATTCTTCACAGGAGACAAGGAAAATTCTCAGAAGCTACACTCAATATGCATCACATAAATAGCCAATTACATCCTTTAAGTAAAGTGTACATTACTCTCCCCTTGATGACTGAAGGATCACTCCACCAGATTGTTGAGTCTGTAACATTTGATGTAGTAAGCAGAACCTTTTGTTTTTTTGAAACGGAAAGAGAATGAGTTAGGACCTCCTGGATGCCAGGATGGTTAGACACAAGCACCTGGTAACTGATTGCTCAGAAGCTGTGTGGAAGAAGCCCTAATGGTGGAACAGCAAAGAGTGCCCTCTAAACCCAGAGGTCGTACTAGGTCGAGCAAGAAAGAAATCCGGAAGGAAAGAGCTTTGCTAAAAACATAGTCTCAAGGCTCCTCCTGATAGTTATCAAGAAATAGGGGAAGGAAATAGGTCTGAAGCATGGGTCAAGGGCTAGGTAGGAAGAAGCCTCACCTGGCTGAGTGGCAGTGGGAAGCTGCCTATTCTGACTCTGACCCTTCAGGAGGTGTATTAGGGAGGAAATTCAAGTTTCCTTGGAGTCTGATGGAGACAAGAGGATATCTTGGCAGAGGACAGACTCACCTATGCCTGACTAGTGGTGGGGATAGGGGAGAGGGGGGCCAGGACAGGGGAGAATGGACCTCCAAGTTTAGGTCAGCTGGCCACATTCCCTCACAATCCTTTTTCATAGGGTAGCCAGAGCCCCAGCCTATGGCAGTGAACAAGCTAATCTGAAAAGTGGGTTAAAGCCTTATCCAAGCACAGGAATTCTTAAGATACAATGTTAAAGAGTTAAATCAATTTGCATTAAAGAATAAATAATGATATGGAAAATCATATCTCACCTGGTTGCTGAGAATATATGCAGAAAGGGCAGGGGGCCTCCTGGATGTTGCTGATCAAGGCAGAATTTAAGTAACTAGAAACAGTAGCCCCAAATTTCCTCTTCCAAGACCAACTAACCACCATTATACTACTGGGAAATCAGGGTGATCCAGCTCTATTTCAAGGGATTAAGGGCAGAGTCCAGATGAAATGGCCAACTTCAAGGTTGATCTGCGCTGAGCCCCACCTCCATGATAGATGGAAAGCATGGAAGCTCGAGGAGAGAAATATGGTACTACTCTAGCAATGGGTCCTCTTTAACTGGATATATGAATTCTTTACTGTAAGACTAGGAAAGCCAGAGCACCTGCACAACATAGATATGCTATTGAATACATGAGGTGCAGTCTCCATCCAGTGATTGGATGTCCAGGTTATTTTAGTCTAGGCTACTCTAATGGGGAGAGCAAAGTAGGAACAGCTGGATCTGGCCAAGCCCCTATGGGGTCATCAATATGAAAGAGTATAATACTGGGGTGGGGGTGGGGGAGCAGTACGCACAGGGGGTAGGGAATAGTAATAGATTTCATCCTTTATTAATGAGATGACCTGACAGAACTGAAGCTCTGTGCCGCCTGCCTCCACAGGAGACTCTTGAGTGCATCTTCACAGGGGACCACAGGAAGCTGCATTCAACAAGCATCCTTGGAATATCACCTGCTACATCTTGTGAGTAAACTTTATGTTACCCTAATCTTGGTGTCCAAATGATCTTTGTGCCAGATTTCATAGCCTGCAATAGGACTCAATAAAAAAAATTGAGACAATGAGTTCAGTAAGGAAAAGGATAAGATGAACCCACAACAAATCATTCCAATAAAAACAAGAATGATAAAGAAAATCAACAAAGGATTAAGACAATGAATGATAAATGAATCATTAAGGTTACAGTATATAAAATAATTTTTTAAAGCATTCACATTCTGCCTACTGCCAACAAAGATTAAGAACCAATTTTTAAAATGCTACCTTCAATCAGGCATGATTTTCAATTCCAATAAACTATGTCTCGGTATAGTAAACACAGAAATAATTATACTCTTTGACCTAATAACTCCATAATTATGATCACCCCAAAAGCAACTTTTTTAAAAACTGTAAAATCGATTTAAAGCTATATAACTTATAATTTGAAAAAACTGAAAACTACATAGGTGTCCAAGGATAGGACAATGGCTGAATAAACTCATTCATATCAAATAAAATTGAATATGCTAAAGCAATTAAGAATAATAAATATGGGAATATAAAATAATATAGAAAACCTTACGTGAACTTATATGAAGCTAATAAAGCAGTAACCAAATATTTATACTAATTGTGACTATATAAAAGGAAAAAACTGTATACAAAATAAGGATTAACAGAGATTGGAGGCAAAAACTAAACAGTTAAGAGATATTTGCATATTGAAAAAAATTTTTTAATGTAAACCGTTTTCTCATATGTTTAATCAGTCTTGTTTATATTTAAAGTTCAGCAATAATTGAACTTTCTTCAGTTCGATAATCTATAGAATAAAGAAAGCATGCTGGGTATAAAAAACTCTGTTATGGTTTTTCAGCATACTATCTCTCATAAGGTAGAAGATTTTTTTTCTTAGATTCCATAACAATAGTTTTAGTTTAAGATATTTATGTTTGAGAAGACATAAGGTATATCTAATTATTTCTGTGGAGTAATGATCAATCATATTTGAAAAACATGAAAATGAGAACAGTGCTCTAAGACTAGATATGAAAAATTGGTAAAATTTCTAAAAATGAATAAAAGATGGATTCTAGAAACCAATGAACAGAGGCAGCAAGGAGGCACAGTGGACAGGGTGCTGGACTTGGTGGAAAGAAGAACTGCGTTCAAATCCTGCTTCAGATACTTCCTTAGCAATATGAGCCTGGACAAGTCACCTATCTCTCTGTCTCAATTTCCTCACATCTAAAATGAAGATGATAATAATAGCACCTATTTCACAAGGTTGTTGAGGATTAAATAAGATAATACATATATGTGGGCTTTGTAAACCTTAAAGTGCTATACAAATCCTATTACTATTATTCCCTTATAAAAATCTTACAATGGATTATTTTTTAAAAGGTTTATAAATTGGGTCACTGGAAACCAGCATGAGTTCCTTAAAAACAAGTCTTGACAAATGAAACTCATTTCTTTTTTTGATAGGTTAACTACATTTTTTTTGATAGGTTAACAGGGGTTTTTGTTATTGTTGTTGTTTTTAATTTCAGAAAGCTACCAAACAAATTCTGTCCCTAAATCCTTATGGACAAGACGGAGAAATGTGGGCTAGATCAGGGGTGTCAAACACACTCCACAGGACACATGTGGGCCTGCAAAATATAAAGTGAAGTCTGCAACAGATTAAAATGTAAATGGGAAATGTTTAACAAAATAAATAAAATGCAATGCAAAATAATGTTAATTTGTGGTTTTCTAAGTTAGTATACAACTATTTCTGTTTGAGTTTGATACCACTAAGCTAGATGGTAACAAACTTACATGCATTTATAGCTAGACAAACCATACCTCTAAAACTGCATCTCTAAACTCTCCAATTGTCAAATCTCTTCATGAAGTTTAATGTAAAAAAATCTGTATAGATTACTCAAAGGACATTAATAATACAAAGTAAAAGTCTTACTACCCAGCTGATACACATTGTACATGCCTATATCATATTTTATTTTAAAATATGACAATAGGGCTGAATCCTACTTAGTGTGCGTGAAATCAGTCTTCTGATTTTTCTTCTTCTATTCCAATATCCCCACACAATCTGCATTTGTGATGCAGATGTCAGTCCCTAAATAGTGCTGAATACACCTAGCTACTGAAATTTACCTTAGTTTTATACAGTGAAAGGCAGTGTGGTATGGTAGATATAGGGCCAGCCTTGAAGTCAGGAAGACTTGGGTTGAAGTCTTGCCTCTGATACACACTACTAGCTCTGTAACTGTGGGTAAGTCATTTAATATCTCAGTGACCCAGACAACTCTTATAAATCACAGATAAGTGACTGATCTCCATCAGTGGAGGAAGTTTCCATACCAGAAGGTCCTTAACCAATAAAATCATAGGTCTAAATTAAAAAAAAAAAAACACTTCGTGGTACACTCCAGTTATTTGTCAGAGTAAGATCAGAAGAAAGACGGTTCCATATTAAAGAAAACTGAGCACCGGACTTGAAGATAGTTTGAGTTCTTCTGCTCATAAGCTTTGTGATAATGGGCAAATCACTTAATCTCTCTGAACTTCAATTTTCTCATCAGTGAAATGGGAGTAACATTTCAAACACCAACCTCTCAGGAATGTTGTGAGGAATGTGCTTGGTAGACTATAAATCACTGAGGTTAAGGTGCTTTGGTGACAGTAGATGGGTGAATGATAAAAAGGCCAAGGAAGCTGGCATCTAAAGGGAGAGTTCAAAGATAAAGGGCAAATACCATGCTGAAGACCATTAAGGTGGTGCAGAACCTTCTGCTGCTGAAGTATCTCAGATGAAGAGAAGCTGATGGAAGGTGGAAAAGGCACTGACACCCGAGCTGCCGCCAGGATTCTTGTTTCTCTGAGAAGGCTCCTTCCTGTTTTTATACACAGATGAGCATCTGAAGATAAGCATCACAGGAAATTGAGAACTGAAAAGCAAAGTAATTGTCATTCAATCAAAATTTCAGAGAACAGATTTTGTCCTACAGGGGCATACAAAGCAGGCAAGTAGCTGATTCTGTTAACTCCTCAGAGGAACAGTATGGAAAGACAGTAAGCAAAGCTAGTCACAATGTCCAGTTATTAGCCCCCAAGAAAATGAATACTCTTTGAATGCTCTTTGATAAAGGGTAGGCTTTGCCTTTTAATAGTTATAAAAACTAGTAATTTCCGACTTTCCTATTTCTCTCAATTTTTAGTGCCTCAGAAGGAAACTATATTTTTCTTTAACAGGGGTTCTTTATCTTTTTATGTCATGAATACCTTTGCAGTCTGGTGAAGCCTATGATACCTTCTTAGAATAACATTTTTAAATGCATAAAATACATAGGTTACAAACAAATCAACAATATTGAAATAGTTATAAAATTACAAAAAAAAAGTTCACAGACTCTAGATTAAGAACTCTGATCTATATCCTTCTGTGTTAACTTCAAATCAGTCAGTCACACAACCAAAAAATGTTAAGAGCCAGAAATGTCCTTAGAAAGCATCTAATCCCTGAATTTTGTAGATCAGGCAAACAAGCCCCAGAAGTCACGTAACTTGCAATTTTAGGTGGAATTACAATTATGTATGCCTGCTAAGAGACTATAAACTCAATAAGGATAGAGATTATAGGTTCATGATGTAGGGTTGGAAGGGACCTCAAAAGTCATCTAGTCTAAACCCTTTATTTTACAGGAGAAGAAACTAAGGCCCAGGGAGGTGAAGTCACTGGCTCAAGGTCTCACAGGTAGTAAGCATCAGTGTTTTATCTGGCAGAAGCTGGAATTTTTTAATGGATTATTTTATTAAAAACTAAGCAAGGTTACAAAAGCTGCCTAAGATAATTCTGGATAACTAGGTCAATAAAAAACAGAAGATAATGGTATGGAGAAATCCTGCTAGCTCCAATATGGTAGCAGTGAATGTATATGAGTACCAGGTGTGTTCAAAGTGGGAAAATCAAATGGATTCTATTTTGTAATTTATTCTATTCTGTATCACTGCTGACATTTTGTATAGCTGCCTAAGTCAAGTTTCTTTGTTTCTGAGTTAAGTTCGGAAGTTCAGTTTTCCTTTCTAAGTTTAAAAATTCAGCTTCCCAATAAATTACTTTAATCAAAAGAAAACTGCTAGCTTTATGCCACTAGCTGCCCTTGCACAATTGGAAGAAATCTGTTATCTATATACCATTAGTTATTCTTGCAGTTGGACTAAATCAATCAGAATTTCCTAGCTGGAAGGAGGGGTTGTTGCTAGCCCACATTCTCAACTTCTAACCAATCATATTATATCTATGATGCTGCAAGTTTTGTAACCAATGATATTGTTTTCCTCATCTATGTTGCTGCCTTCTAGTTTTTAGATGTTCTTTCTTTTGTCTGTAAAAATTATGCCTGCCCTCATTAGGGGTCTTTTGGCTTGCTGAGGAGCTAAAGACCCCTTTTATTGGTAATTGCTAGCCTTACCAATAAAGTGAATTTGCTCAGAACTCTGTGCTTCAGTTTACCTTAATTTCAATCATAACAAAAGGAAAATAATGCCAATTTTAGCCACTTACCTCAAGAGCGTAAGGAGCAGCAAGCCTTTAGAGCTGGTTAATAGAACTCCTGCCTTTGGAAGGGGAGCAGAACGTGAGAAATGTCCTGGTAGTGACTAGACACTCTACCCGAAATGCATGGGCTTAGCCAGCCCAGAATCAGAGCATCTCCATGATAGTCAAAGAGTTTTATGGAAGTTTTTTCTCAAAGTATAGCTTCTCTGCCCAGGATCCACTCAGATCAGGGATGCAATCTTAACTACAAATTACTCAAAGAAGTACTTGACCTAAGAGATCTAGAATAATGCCTCATCAATCCCAAGAACCCCAAGAATGGTCAATTGTATCTTATTAAATACTCTGGGAACATTTAGGCCAGAGCAGAAGGGTCCATGGAGCCAACATGTGACATTTCAGTTCACAGTGGCTCTAGGAATGATGCCATAGGATTTGTCCCCACCTTATTTGGAGATGTTTAGAAGCAGTGAATATTAATATGTGCTTTAGAATGTCACAGATAGAAGTAATGCAGCAATCCATAATCAGTAGTTTATAAGACTGAGAGAAGTATTAAGAGAAGCCTCCTATCTATTGATGTCTTCAGCAAAGAAAAACATTTGAGGAGAACAAATAATATCTTAACCTTGGAGTTTGCTTAAGAGCTCAAAATGGGAAACAATTCTGTAAAGGATTCCTAGGAAGAAATTCTGTAACGCACAAAATAGAATATTGATGGAAATTCATCACATATCATGTAACTGAAACTAGAAAGTATCAATCCACAAAACAGTACTGAAAAATGAACAGGCTCTAAAAAGACAACATAGGTAATCAACTGCTATCTGTAGAGGAACTGGTTGAGCAGGAACATAAGAATGAGGGGAGTCAAGGGACTGGGCCCAATGAATCCATTGATCATAGCCAAACACCTATAGCTCAACATGGAGATGGCATTAATCAGGATTTTAAGGACGATGAGATCCAATCTGTGTAGTGTTAGAAAATGTAGATTGCTACCAAATCTATCTCGTCATTTAATTAATCAATCAATCAGAAAACAACTGCTTTAAAGTGAGAGAAGCTAAACCCAGAGGAAACCAACTCCATTCCTGTTCTCCATCATTGGAAGTCTCAGGGAGGCAGAGACCACATGTAGCATCTTTCTGTTTAGGACAGCAGATAACCCCAATAGATAACCCCAAGGGTCCTTAAGTCGAGAACTTGGGCCATTGGCCAATGTGTCCAAAATGGCTTTTCCCCATAAATAATGAGACAGAACATCCAGAACTGATAATAAACCACAGCAGAGGTGCCTGAACTATCCAGCCCCAACTAGGCTAATGCATAGTGCACCATAAAATAACCAAGAAGGATGTCATCCAACAGAACTTGTACAAGTCAGACTCCTGCATACTGGAGAAATGGCAGGCCAATGATGGAATTCATGTGAAATATACTATATGCAAATTATTTTGCATGAACACAGTGCATATTATTACTATGTGCAAATGAACTTTGGATAAACATGACAGAATATCTGGTGTCATTTTCAAGGCCTGAAAGTTTTTTTGATTGGAAGAGATAAAGTAGTGAATGTTGGTTAATTGCTCCTTCTCCCTCTATTTTCCAGTTGAGTTACTGGAGAAAATAAAGTGTTTACCTCAAAGGATATGTATGGTGATAGATGAGGCTGATAACCAGTAGAAAATAAGATCCTTTAAGAAAAGATCTACAGAACTACATGTGTGCAACCAGAGAGTTGGTCCAAATATACTAAGGGAAAACATGCATACCATTCCCAGTAGAGAAGAGCAAACTTCTCAGAGAACAGCTGAGTTCCTGGTGCCATGAGAAGTTTGTCACTCCAAAATTACAGCGCCAAGCTTAGTATTTCCTTCACTCCTAGGGCAGTGTTGCAAGTAATGCAAGTGTTGCAAGTAAGCCCCGGTCAGATGCTGATCCCCTCCCCCTCACATCAGCACTGACCTTGGCCTCTGAGCTCCCACAGCACTAGGGGGTCACAGGAACAGTCACTGAGTCGTCGCCCTGACCCTGACAACCAGCAAGGATCTTACAGAGAGACCCTCAGTCCGGGGAAGTGCAGACACCTGGATTTGGAGTCAGAGGGCCTGGGTTCAAATCTGACCACTGTCCCTTACCACCTGTGTGTGACCTTGGGCAAGTCACTTCCCTTGGTGGGCCTCAGATTCTTTATTGGTAAAATAAAGGGGGCAGACTAGACCTCGAAGGTCCCTTCCGGCTCCACGTCGAGGATACAGTGATCATCTCCTCACTGCACAAATGTGGAAACTGAGGCCCAGACAGGGGAAGGGCCCCGCCCGACGTGTCACGGGATAGTCAGGGTACAGCCGGAGCTTGGACCCAGGACCCCTAACTTCCTCTGTCAAACCCCGGGGACAGGGGAGCCGCGGCGAGGCCCGCTCTCTGTCCGGGCCGGATTGGGGCCACAGGACCCCGCCTCCTCAGGCCCGGACTTGCTCACCTGCAGGTATCCAAGCCGCGGCCCCGGACAGGAACTGCGACCGCAGCCCGCTCCGCCCACTACCACCACACTTCCGGGGAAGCTCTAGGAAGGCTGGAGGACTCCGCGCCTCTGTCCTCTTGGCTGGCGCTGGGAAGCGGGGGTGCGGCGGCTCTGAACTCTGAAGGGAACTGACGGGGTCTAGATACGATTCGATTCAATTCAGTTCAACAGGCATTCCTTAAACGGTTTCTATGCGCATTCCTTATGTTGGTCTTTTAATTTTCCTCTCCTGCCTTTCTTCTAAAATGAAATAATAGTTTGTCAGTTTGGTTGGTCTTAAAATATTTTTTGTTTTATTTTCTTAATTTCATTGTTCTTTTGTATTAAGTTCTAGATTCAATTCAATTTAACAATTACTAAGTGTCTGCTATGTACAAGTTATTTCACTGTGTGCGGGAGGATTATCTTGGCATACTGGGGATCCACCACAGTGGATCTGTAATCTCATCAGTGTAGACATGATGTCAAGAGAAGCAGATCCCAGCTTGTCCATGCCCTCCCCGAACAAGCCCGTTCGACTTTTGTCTGTATACTCCCACAAATGCACTGCAGAGGATTCACTCAATGTGCTAGGGCCTTCCTTATTTCTTTGATATCAAAAGATGCCAATAGAGGACTGAGAGACAGGCCATCAGTTATCCTTAGCTCTCATCCTATGATCAAACCATCTTTTTTACTTCTTCCTTTAGAGTAAGAAAGTCAATATTTATATAATTCAGTTCCTTCAGTAGTTTGGGGTTACTGGACAAGGATCTCATTTAAAATACCAATAGGTAAGTTAATATTGACAGAAAGTCAAAAAACCATGTGATTCTCAGCATTCTCTACCTCCTTTCCTGAACGTTTGCCATTATTACCACAAAAGTGGAAGTGGACCACATAGGACTGAGGACCATTTTGTATTTTTCTTTGTTTAATGGGCTGTCATGGCTAAAGAATGTATCACCAAGGGATTGCCTACTGGCAATCAACCTCTCTATTCTTGGCTGGCCCACCAAAAGAAGAAATTTATTCTATTACTTGGTCCATACTTTATGGTATCAAAGAACCTGGTAGAGTTTGCTCTCCATTGGTATAGCCTTCAAGAACTGAGGGTCACACATGTACAAAAATATTTATAGCAGCTCTTTTTGTGGTAGCAAAGAATTGGAAATTGAGAGGGTGCCCATCAGTTGGGGAAAGGCTGAACAAGTTGTAGTATATGAATGTAATGGAATACTCTTGTGTTATAAGAAATGATGAGCAGGCAGATTTTTGAAAAACCTAAAGACACTTACTTGAACTGATACTGAGTGGAGTGGGCAGAACCAGGAGAACATTGTACACAGAAACAGCAACATTGTGTGATAATTAACTATGATAGACTTAGCTCTTCTCAGCAATACAATGATCCAAGACAATTCCAAAAGATTCGTGATGGAAAATGCTAACCATATCCAGAGAAAGAACTATGGAGTCTGAATGCAGATCAAAGCATATTATTTTCACGTTTTTTTGTTTTTTCTTTCTTCTGGTTTTTCCCTCTTGTTCTGATTCTTCTTTCACAACATGACTGTGAAAATATGTTTAACATGATTGTACATGTACAACCTATATTAGATTGCTTGCTGTCTTGGGGAGAGGGGAGGAGAGGGAGAAAGGTAGAAAAATTTGGAACTCAAAATTTTACAAAAATGAATATTGAAAACTATCTTTACATGTAACTGGAAAAAAATTAAGGGAAAAAAAAAAGAACCCAAGGTCATCTCCATGCCATGATGAGTCATCAGAATATGACTTTGTGAAAGCACTGATACAAAGACTAGAAAAAAAACTAGTCCCTACTCTCAAGGAATTTGCATTCTACTGGGGGAAAAAATACGTATACTTGTAATATCATCAAGTAATTTCAGGAAGGAAAGAGAAGTAGCAACTAAAGGGATCAGGAAAGGCTTTGAGTAAGACATGGCACATAAGTTGAGCCTTGAAGGAAGTTAAGGATTTTAAGGGGATGGGATTCCAAGCATGGACAAAAGCCTGGGGAAATGCATAGAGAGATGTTACATTTAATTCAAAGAATACATAGTGGTCCATATTGTCTGGAATGTAGAAAATGTGAAGGGAATTAATATAAATTAAGTCTGGAAAGATATACTGAATCCTGACTGCAGCAGGATTTAAAGGCCAGGCTGAAAAGTTTGTATTTTATCCTAGAAGAGATAATAGGGAGCCATTAAAGATTTCTGAGTAGGCGAGTAACAGATCAAATGTATATGGAAGATGAATTGGAGAGGGGAAGAGACTAGACATAAGAAGGCTAATTAGAAAGATGATGTAAATGTCCAGGTGTGAGAGGATGAGGACTTAAACTAGAATGGCCATGTATGTAGAGATAAGGGAATTTATTTGAGTGATAAAGTGAAGGTAGATTTGCCAGAACTTGACAACTAATAAGACATAGTGGGTAAGGAAGAGTGAGGAGTTGAGAATGACTCTGAGGTTATAAACTTGGGTGATTGGAAGGATAGGAGTACTGTCAACAAACAGGAAAGTTTAGAAGAAATACAGGTTTAGAAGGAAAAATAAAAATATTTTGGACATGTTGAGTTTGGCATGCTAATGGGGCATCAAATTGGAGATACAGAAATGGAATGAAGAAGAGATATTGTTCTGGTGTACCCCAAGGCTCAATGCTCATTTGCATAAGATTTTCTTCATTGATAGAAATTGATTGTGTGGTGCTCTATGCTTGAATGAGGGGCAGAATTGGTGAGAGAAATTAAGAGAAAAGAGATTCTGGTCTTTGGGCTTCCAGCTTCTAGAGAGTAAACATATGGCTCCAGATTCTTTTCAGGATGAGGCACCTGATTCTTCCCAGTTTTTGTCTCCCTTTACAAACCTCTCCCTAAAGAAATCTAGTTTCAGTATAGGATATCTCAGTTACAAAACTAATGACTGAGTAATTTGGAGAAATATCAGAAAATTTAGGGGAAGGCAGAGTCAACATGGCAGAATAGAAGGAAGAGGTACATCAAGCTCTACAACCCTCTCTCTCCTTCAGCTGCACCAAATAAATATAGAAAACATACTAAAACTTAATAGGAAAATTGAAGAAAAAGTCACAATGAGTTTTTCTGCCAACCCAAATCAGTGTATAGAGGCAGACTATAACATGCATGCACAGGGAAATATACATAGATATCAACTCATACATATACACTGATACACATGTACAAACTTGCATGCACATGGAAACTCACAGATAACAATTCACACATGCATAGTGACCTACATGTACAAAGGGATTGGCATACATATGCAAATACACACAAAAACAGGGACAAATATGCACAGACAACTCATCCATTAAAAAGAAATGCTTATATCAATCCCTAGGACAAATTAATGCTTTCAAAACAAGGTTATGATAGGAATAACTGTATTTGTTTTCTCAGTGCTTAACACACGGCCTGGCGCATAGTATGTACTTAATAAATAACTGTTGACTTGACATGGAAAAATGTATATAAAATGACTCAGAGTGGAGTAAGCAAAACCAGGAGAACAAAATTTACAATTGCTACAATAATGTAAATGAAATATTTCTAAAAGGCAACTGACTGTATGTTAATTGCAGTGACTAATTTTGGTCCTTGAAGAATAGATGATGAAATACATCTTCCTCCTATCAGTAGAAGGATATGAGACTACAGGTATAGAAAAGTCACATATGCTGCCAGATGCTGTCATTTTGTTGGTCAGTTTTGTTCAATTGTTTTTCTTTCTGTTAAGGATGAATTGAATGGGAGAATGGGGTACATCAAGAAATAACCATAGAGTTAAAAAAAGACATCAATAAAACTTTTAAAATATTCATTTCCAAACTAAATTCACTTCCTTTTCTGATATGTTTGATAGATCAGGAAAATGCTCCAAACATGGTATGTATGAATTTCAGCAAGACATTTGAGAAGGTTTCTCTCGATATCCTTGTTAACAAGTTGGAAAGACAAGAACCAGATGATAGTATAGATAAGTGATTTTGGAACTTTCTGAATGACATAATTTAAAGAGTCATGCTTAATGAATTGACACTAACCAAGAGGTAAGTCCATATGGGAATGCCATTTCTCCATGGCCGCTTTTGTATTCAACGTTTTTATCAACAACTTGAATGGACGTATAGACAGTATAGTTATATAAAACTTATAAATGAAAAAAAAAACCCACTAGGATGGATAACTAACATGTGTGATGATAGAATCAGTATCCAGAAAGATCTCAACAGTCTGGAATGTGATCAACAACAAAAATGGTGACAGGGTGAAATAAATAGATTACATGGACATCCATTGTCACCTAATAGACTGATTTAGATTTCAGTTGGCGGATGCATCTTAATATGTATGGTAGTGAAGAGGGGGTTGAACTCAGGATGTTTCCACAGAGGAGATGGTATGTGAGCTAAGTCTTTAAGGAAAATAAGGATTCAGAGAGGTGGAATTGGAAAGCGTGCATTCCCAGATCATGGATTTTAGGGCTTGACTTTAAGTGGAGACTT